AATGGTAGCTGGCTCGCGGATGACAAAATACACGCTCCGCTTTGTTTTTAAAACATATAAATTAAAAAAAATATAACCGTGGATGTCTGGGGGACAGTGATTCGCCTACATGTTATGAATGCTAGCGTACCATAAAGAATAAATTATGAACAGTTCAGTTTGTGCTTTGAAGTCGTTGCCCATAGGAAGACGGTACCTGGATATAACCTAAACGAATATCTAACAGAACGGCTCCAAATGACACAAAACTCATATGGGTGAGTAGATCATGATGTAATAACGTAAAATCAAGGGCCCAATGTAAAAAAAAAAACTAAATTCCCCTTTAAGGACCAGCACCAAATACACTATATAATTATTCTATGACCCCTTTAAAGCTTTGTTGACTGATTTTCGCCTTTTCATTAAACACAACATTATTATTTTTGTTAAATAGCTGCTATGGGAAATATGTTTCCATTTTAAACAGCCAATTGTATTTTTAGCCTTCTAATGAGGAAAAATCATGAAATGTTTCATGAAAATGAAGCACAGATTTTCCTCCATAGGATATTATTTGATGTCAAAAAAAAAAAAAAAATAAGGACTGAATGCATAATTTTCAAGCAAATGACAAGAAAAGTAGATTTGAACATTTTTTTTTGGTATTTTACCGTCATTCTATTATGAAAATTCAATTAAATATTGAGCTATAGTAGAGATTCAAGAGAACCCATGGTCTATATCATGTATACTACGCACATAGTCCCAACGACTTTGGTTCTGATGGGATCCGTATTTCCTCCTCTTTGATCAGTTCTATAGGATCGGTAACATGCCCCCCCAGTCATTGATCAGTCTTTTTCAACTCTTCCCCTGATTGATACTTTAGCCCACTTAGAGCTTTCTTCGAGGCCGTGTAACCTCTGGAATTAAACTAAAGGGAAATCACATGCAAAAGTCAGAAGAACACAAACAAACCATTAAAAACAGCTGATTATAAATATGGTTGTAACAGATCTTTCTGTCTTGAATAGGGAGGAAAAGATCAGACAATTAAAACCTCCTCAGACTCTCATTAGGGTAGCCTCCAAACCCATTAATCTGACTCTCTTGGAGCTCAGAAGAAAACCAATTTCTCTGCTTCCTGTTCTTACCAAATGACATCTCTCTCTGTACTTTAAGTTAGCTGTAAAGCCCAAAGGTAGTAAACTGATAAAGGTCACATGGAAGCAGTTAAGTGTCTTTACAAAAGGAAATGTGATGTAAGCTAAGCGATAACGGAGGACCAGATGTCCTTGTTCCACAAGCACTGATTGATTTCTTAGACTTAGACAATCTTTAATGTCATTTTTTATACACTGGTTGTAAAAAAAAACTAAATTATGTTACTTAAAACAGTAAAAAGAACATTACCATTAAAATGTGCTGTAGTGATCATCATGTAAACAGAGTAGGAGAAAAGGAAAACCAGTTTAAATAATCAAAATAATAGTGAAAAAGGCATTAATATGGAAAGTTTCAGTGCAGTGGAAAATAAATATGGTGCAAAATGCAGTGGAACATAGTTGTGTCATATTTAAAAGGATTATAAAAGTTTCAGCCACGTTGGTGGTACGGAATAATGTTGCGAGTGTGATGCAGAGTCCAGTTTAGAGTTGAACAGTTCTGATGGCAGCTGTTGCAGAACCTGCTGGTCTTGCAGCGGATGCTGCAAAGCCTCTTCCCCGAAGGCAGCAGGGAGAACAGTCCGTGGTGGGGGTGTGAGGGGACACCGAAGATTACGGGCTCGGGACACGCAGCGCTGGGATGAAATGTCTGAGCACTAGTTTGACACCCAGATTGAACATCTTAATTTAACTTAAAGGAGGAGATGTGTTCCCTGTTAGGATCAATTTAGATTTTTTTTTTTTGCTGACCAGCTTAGGCCTTTTCTCTCTCTGCAGGTGCAGCCACCTCCTTTGCGGCGGGCTACGCTAAAATCCGGTGGAACATCTGGTCGGAGCTGGTCATCTGTGTTATCACGGCCCTGCAGGCTTGCTTGCTGCTGCTTATGGGCAACACGCAAAACATTTGGGTCTGTTATGCTTGTTACATCCTCTTCAGAGGCTTCTACCAGTTCCTGGTGCCTATCGCTACGTAAGTACATTAGAAACCAGTTATTGTCAATTCAAAGAATCTCGGATCAGAACACTTAAACTCCAGAAATACGGCAATCCAATTTATTAACTAATCTGTCTAAACTGAACAGGTTGTTCTTTTGTAAAGGAATTAAACTTTTAGCGCCCTCTAGTGTTTACTCTCCAAGTATATGATAAACTGCTGATTCTGAAGAGCTGTTTGTCCTGCAGTTTCCAGATCGCATCATCGCTCACCAAGGAGCTGTGTGCTCTGGTGTTCGGCATCAACACCTTCTTAGCGACGATACTGAAGAGCATCATCAACTTGATATTTTCAGACAAGAGGGGGCTGGGACTAGACATATACGCTCAGGTGAAATTTTCAACCACATTTTGAATATTTCTTTAATTTTGTCCAAGAAGCTTTAAAGAGGTGTCTATGTTTCAGCTAGTTCAGCACCAAATATCTAGGAGGTTGTATTTAGGGCTTCAACTAATGATTATTTTACGATTAATCTGTCGATTCTTTTTTCAATTAATCGATTAATCAGATAGCCCAATAAAGAAGACTTTTTACAAAATTAAACCAGGTGAAACTCAAACTTTTCCACTTGAGGAGTTCTGAAAAGACCATATTGACACATGAAGTTTTTTTTTAAATCTTAAATGCAAAACGTTCAAATATATTTTTTAGAAACTTTGTATAATTAAAGCTCCAATTGGTTGCCCTGTCAGCTATAAGCATGTTTTAGAATCTCTGTACTCCAGTTAACGATTAATCGATTATTAAATTAGATGACAATTATTTCACTTATCGATTAATCGGATTGGTTCAGCCCTAGTTGTTTTAAGGATTTCAGCCCTAACTGCAAAAAAATGAAATCTAAATGAAATCTATAGTGTCTTTTTTAATAAGTGCTTCTTTTTAATTGGTGAGACTTTGCCAATGGAACAAGACAATTTACATTTAAAATAAGACAAAAAAACAAATTGAATTGTCTTATTTCAAGTGCACATTATCCAATTATCTTATCTCATTCCATTGGTAAATCATCTTTACCTGCTCAAATTAAGGCTAAATTCACTCAATTTTATAAATACTGGAGTGTAGATGCTCAACTTTTGAAAATTAATAAAGAGATTTTGCATTGGGATATTTTAACAAAGATAAATAAAAGTTATTGTGCTTTCTTTATGTACAAAAACTGAAGTAGAAGCTGAACAACTGGGAAACTTCCTTTCGGTTAAAGTATTTGATTCCTATGCAGGGTTTTTATAAAGATGCCCAAACTTCTGCAAAAACTCTTGGATAACTTCCCCCCACCCATTTTTTTTCCAGTTCTTAGTCTACTTCATTTACTTCTGCCTGCTCACCGTGCTGTACACCGTCAGCGCTGCCGTCGTCCTCATCCGTCACTTCAGGAACCAGCAGAGGGAGCGGCTCGCCTCAGCCAGAGGGCCGCCAACAGAACTCAGCCCTGTGCCACAAACCCCCGAAGCAGAACCTCTATCTAACGGGAAAAGTGCCTGAACGTAAAGGCAGCAGCTGGTGAACTCCGAGCAGAACCAATCAGTGATTTCTGAGCCTTAATCATAGAAGTGCCTCATCTTCTGCTGTGTGAAGCCTTTTTGCACTACGACACCATAAATAAAATAGTGAACTCACAGCTTATCAGGTTTCAAGTATTAATTATTTCTACCGGAGCACTCCCATTGTACACGTTACAACTGCCTTTAGATAAGATCCGATTAGAAATAACATCACTGTTTTTATTAACTGAATTGTATTTTGTGATAAAATGAGATCCTCAATGATAAAAAATGTGACTAGAAACTGCAGGTTTTTATTCAGTGGTTAATTTTTTTAATCTTGTATTAATTTGTATTTGATGCATTGGAATAAGCTCCATTTTGTTTAGTTTTTTTAGGAGAAATCATTGCTACTCAAGATATTCCCTTAAAAAGTTGGGTTTTCACCAAAGTTAAAGATCTAAGAAAAAGAATGGCTGCTTTTACTTTGAAATTCATAGGAATGTAGTGTTACCTAATCTTACAAGGGGACGTTTAATTCCTCCACAGGAAATGTAGCTGAAGTTTCATATTTTCCAATAACAGTTTTTTTTTAGGGTACCGTTACTTATATAATGTGCACACTGTATTTTATTCTGATTTAAATCATTGCTGAAATATGCTGTATGACAGGAAATAGTGTTTTTTATTCAAAAATAAAATGAAGTAGTGGATAAATTGATACATTTGGTCTCCTTATTGAATATAAGAAAGTCTGTATTTATTTATTATTTTTAAAGTATGTATATGTTAGGATAAAATGAAAGTAAAGCAAAGGGATTCTAAACTTTATCCTGGAAATTATTTTTGATTTATTTTAAAGTAACCTAAAACCTTTAGAGGTGCATTGGTTTGTTGCATTAATTCTCACTAAAATACCTTTTTTTGTGGTTGTTATTTTAAGGAAATGAAACTTGGAAGCGTATGTCAGGCAAAGCACTTTTTTTTTTTTTTTTCCCAAAGTTCTGGCTTTTGTTTACTCAGCTGTATTGGTTTAAATGTTATAAAAAAAAAAAAAAAGTTCTTTGATTATTATTTTTTTTTTTGTTCACATTTCCCAGCATGGGGTTAGTTCTGTACCGGAGCTGTTTGTACAGCTGAATAAAAAGACGTGATATAGCTCTAGAAGATAAGCAAACTGCTTTTGATCTGATATTTAAAAAAAAAAGGATTTTTTTTAAATTAAAATATTTAGATTCCATTCATTTGGACTGAACATGGCCCTAAAAAGTCTTTGAAAAGGGCTTAATTTAAAACAAGAAAAAAATATATCACTTTGGATAAACGTTTGCTGCCCTCTAGTGGCAAAAAAAGAAAATTCCGCAAGCAAAATTAAAACTTGGATGTTGTAGCTGTGTTTAATATACTGTAGCACAAAAAGAAGCAGTTGGGGCAGCTTTTTAGTTTAAATAAACCAATCTCTTGAAACTTCATAAAACAAATGGATAATCTCCTGGCACATCATGGCATTCTCACAAAAATATTCCAAACTTCCATTTCAAGTAGACAAATGTCAGTTATTAAAAAAAGGAAAAAAAGTACATACAGATAGAAAATAAGTAAACGAAAGAAACATTTACCCCAACATCGGCAATATTTACACACGATTTGTTTAGAGCCGAAAAGTTACTCTTGCAGCTCATCAACAATTCGTCCAGAAAGTGACAAAACAAACCAGCACATCTGATGCTCCGCAGACCTCAGTTAAAACCAATTCCTGATTCATTAATGAGACGCTAAAACTGCTAAACAACATAAAAACACAGGCATAGACATTTGTCCATATTTGTTAATGATCCGTCAGATTTTGAGGAAATAGTCTTTTAACTGACGAGGCAGAAGTGGTGGATTCTTGCAAATTGTTGACCTAGATGACCTGCTGTAATTCATGCAAACATTAAATCTATTCTCTAGCAAAAAACTAAATCTAGTGAGCAGTTTTCTAAAAAGCCTTGTCAGTCAGTTGACATACCGCAAAATACCCTTCCTTTATTCCTCTTCCATTAGCTCAGTTCCTCTGACACTGGTTAATGGCCAAGAGAAACAGTCTCGGATTAACCATCGGTGGATGTTGCTGTCAGTTATAGGAAAGCTCACTTTTACCGGGCTTCCAGGAATTGTTTTAGGAGTAGTTTGGCAGGAACAAAACCTTAAGATCAGAGGTCTTCTCTCTTACTTCCTCCTTTAAATAAACCTCTCTCCTTTGCCAAACCTCTCTCATTTGCCAAAGTTGAAAACATCCAATGCAACATGCACAGGATAATTTCTTGGTTCCTTCTTCTCAGGCAGTTTTGCCGCTTTCAGTGCCATCAGAAAATTTCACAAAAAAATAGAAAACTTGGAAAAAGCTTCCTTAGTGTCATTAAAAAACAGACACTTTTCAAATAAATTCTTTCTCTGAACATCCTTTTGAAATACTTGTTGCAGTGAGACTTCTGCTGATGAGGCCAACATTTGGTCCATAGTTGGCTTGCCTTTTCTTTTATTCATTTCCGAAAGACGTTTCTGCAAAAAAAGCAAAAAAACATACTAAAGTTAATATGGGTTCAATATAGCTTCAATGCTAAAATAAATGCTGCTGACTGGATTTAAGCTATCAAATTAGAATATCATCAATAGGTTAATCTGTTTTAAAAGTCCAATCATACTATTTTAGAGAAATGTGTCTGGGAAAAAAACCGCTAAAAAAGACGTCCCCCCAGCTCTTCTGCTAGACTCTGGAACCTTTATTACCAAATAGGATCCAAAAGAGGAAACAGTATTCCAGTCCTTGTTCTCCACCTACAATCTTTTTAAAGCCATCTCTAATTTAAGAGGCCCCATTGCTTGTGTACATTTTTTTTTCCTTCTACAAACTGTCTAATAAATACTCTTGGATACAGCTTCTTTTGCAGTGATCTTGGGTGGCTTACCCTGCTAGTTTAGGGAGTCAATAAGTGCTAAAAATGTCATCCTCATGATAAAGCATCATTATTGCATTTAAAGTATAAATATCTTTAGTCTCATGTAATATAAACATTGTCTTCCCCACTCAGAGGAGCCTGATCAGTGGGAGATTGCTCCTCCCCAAATGCAGGACCAACAGACTGCTGAACTCCTTTGTTCCTCAAGCCATCAAGCTGCACAACTCCTCACTTGGGGAGGGAGGAGGTGATAGGAAGAGGGTCAAGGGTCAGCACCGCCCTCCTTGGACATCTTGTGCAAAAACATTACCTACTGTCACTCATGCAATATTCTTTTCTCACTGTGCAATGATCCAAGTCAACTACTGTGCAGATATTTTTATATCTAAAGCAACATATTCCACTACATTCCTTTTTTTATGCTCTTTTGTACTATATACACTTTTTATATTGTCTGTCGTATTTATGTCTTTAATGGCATCTTGCTTTAACTCTGCCCTTTGTGCTCTACATAAGCTACCAGAACCAGATTTTTCCCTGACGTTAAAATGTTATGAGAACCTGAACTTTTCTTTTTTTTTATTAGCTTTAATACAAACATCTAAATGAACAAGTTAACTTTTAAGATAAATCTTTGTTTGCAATGTATTTATATGTATATAGAGTATCTAGAAAGTGTTGGCGTCCCTTTACTTTCTCAACAGTGTGATATTTTTTACGTCTCTAAACTTAGATTCTCCTTTAAAATAAAATCTACAAAAATAGCCCATTAAGAAAATAAAATGAAAAGATGTTCTCATCTTTGCTTTCAGCAAAACTTTCCGTATTTTCACGACCATAAGGCGCACCGGACTAAAAGGCGCACTCTCAGTTATGTGTCCCATTTCTGTATTTAACACACACATAAGGCGCACCGGACTATAGGGCGCGTTTTTTATATACAGGTACATGTCCTCTCAGGTGGATTTTCCCACTTAAAAACATATTAAAACTACTTTATTCCCACTGATCACAGCAAATAAAGCTGCAAGGTGTATTTATTACAAAGTATTATTAAAACCTGGGAGCTGGCCATGAGAGACACATCGCTGATGACACAGGGCTGTGATTACTCCTCTGATACAATTTATTGACGCATAAATTAACTTAAAACATAGGCAGGATAATAATCTGGATGAACTGACTGCAATGATTAAATTTTCAGGTGGACTTTCTCACTTAAAAAGATTTAGATTATTTAGATGAAAAAACACCTGCCGAGGTGAGTCCGGATGCGCCGCGGCCCAGAGCCTGCTGTTGAATTAAGTTTTCAGGTAGAAAAATAGAGCGGGAGCAAAACTGAGTATGATTGTGCTTTATTCAAGTATTTATTACAAAGTATTAATCAAACCCATCAAAGTCCTCATCCTCTGTTTCTGAATTAAACAGCTGCGCTAAATCCGACATGCCAGTTTCCCCTTCTTCTTCGTTTATTGACGCATACATTAACTTAAAACATAGGATAATAATCTGGATGAACTGACTGCAATGATTAAATTTTCAAGTGGACTTTCTCACTTAAAAAGATTTAGATTATTTAGATGAAAAAACACCTGCCGAGGTGAGTCCGGATGCGCCGCGGCCCAGAGCCTGCTGTTGAATTAAGTTTTCAGGTAGAAAAATAGAGCGGGAGCAAAACTGAGTATGATTGTGCTTTATTCAAGTATTTATTACAAAGTATTAATCAAACCCATCAAAGTCATCATCCTCTGTTTCTGAATTAAACAGCTGCGCTAAATCCGACATGCCAGTTTCCCCTTCTTCTTCGTTTATTGACGCATAAATTAACTTAAATCATTGGCAGGATAATAATCTGGATGAGCTGACTGCAATGATTAAATTTTCAGGTGGACTTTCTCACTTAGAAAGATTTAGATGAAAAAACACCTGCCGAGGTGAGTCCGGATGCGCCGCGGCCCAGAGCCTGCTGTTGAATTAAGTTTTCAGGTAGAAAAATACAGCGGGAGCAAAACTGAGTATGATTGTGCTTTATTCAAGTATTTATTACAAAGTATTAATCAAACCCCTCAAAGTCCTCATCCTCTGTTTCTGAATTAAACAGCTGCGCTAAATCAGACATGCCAGTTTCCCCTTCTTCGCTGTCAGAGTCACTTTCCGTGCAGCGCAGCTCCTCAGAAATAATGCCTGCTTTTGCAAAAGCTTGAACAACAGAGCCAGCAGACACGTTAGTCCAAGCATCTACAATCCATCCGCAAACTGTGGCGTAACTTGCACGGCGCTGCCTTCCATTTATCATGAAACTGTGGTCTCAGTCTGTCATCCATCGCTCCCCCGCCGCTCGCAGCCTTACTTTGAACGGCCGCTTCAAACCGATGTCGAGCGGTGGAAGCTCCTTTGTCAGACCCCCGGGATAACGGCGAGCACAGCGTTCATTTGATTCACCTTTTTTTCACATCGGCTGTGAGATGGGCACGCAGCGATGGTGATGCGTGGAAAAAACCACCTAGTCTTCTCAGATACACCTGCCTCAGCCACGCATCTATCCAGCCTTTTTCATCTAATATCATATGTCATCAGAGCGCTGTGTCTGTCTCGCTGTCAGCTCCCAGATCTGCTTCTCTGATTGGTTGATGCGGCGCGTCCAGCAGCAAAACTTCAATTTTTCCATCTGAGCAGCAGCAGCGCGTTGGCGGCGCTTCAGATGCTTAAACGCTCCCGACGTGCTGCACCAAAACGCGCTGCAGGACCTTTTGCTGCACCTATACGCGCGTCAACCATTGACTTTGCATGTAAACTCGCTGCTTCTGCTGCACCTGCTGGGTCCGGTTCACACCGATGTCGAGCGGTTGAACAGCAAGCACAGCATTCATTTGTTTCCCCATGTTTTTCACATCAGCTGTGAGATGGGCACGCATGGAGTTACAGATTAACAGCGATGGTGAGGGGTGGAAAAAAAAAAACACCTGGTCTCCTTACATTCAGCCACTCTTTCATCATCTCCTCAATGAGGTGGTCTCAAAAGTCACAGTTACAACACACAAAGGGCGCACTGCACCATAGGGCGCACCGCACATTTTGAGGGAAAAAAAAGACGTTTAAGAGCGCCTTATAGTCGTGAAAATACGGTTGTCTTTTTTTCTCTCTTCAGTTTGTTTACTGCAGATCCTCTCAAGTTCAGTCCGGTTAGACAGGCAACATCAGCCACTTTAGTTTCTCCACGGATCTTCGGTTGCATTAAAGTCCAAAAGCTACTTTTGACTTACTAACTTTTTCAGAAGAAAGGTGAGATGTATCCTGAGGCTCATCAGGATATTGGTGATCCTACACCATCTATAAGGACTGGTCAAAAAAGTATCCCCACAGCATAATGCTGACACCTCCATGCTCCAAGGAAACAGATGTTAGACACGTAAGTAGTTCCTAGTGTCCGTGACGCGATCCTTAGTTTTCAGGTCAAAAAGTTCTATTTTGGTGTCATAGACCAAAGCATGACAACCTCTAAGCTGTATTTCTGTAAAATTCAAAGCATTAGGGGGGTTGACCTTCTACATTTCCCCCTAACTCCTTGAAGTAACAATGGAACCGTTTTGAACCCACATCTCCTATTTTCAAATTATGGGGAGCCCAGATGCTGTTAAGATGTTCAACACAGCTGAAACAGTTTTTTCCTATGAGATATTCCAGCCTCTAACTAGTAACTAATCACAATTACTTGCTAATAATTAAGAGTGGCTCTGGTTATCCTAAGCTATCTCTGTGGTTATGCTGCTAAAGGATTAGACTGCTGGAGGACATAGGGATCCTTTTTCATCGTTCTCTCTCTATTCTCCCATTCTGCAGAATTTGTTAGTTCAATCTCTAATTTTATGCTCTCTCTGCTTTTTCTTACAGTAGTTTCATCTGGTCTGTTTGGCTGTGACACCATCCTGGAGAGAAATATCAGCTATACTGCTGCTATCAACACATCTGTTTATAGATGTTCAACCTCTGCCTGTTTTTCAGTGTAGTCCTTGTTCTCTGACTGTGACTAACTGTATGTGCTCTCTCTCATTCTTCGACAAGGGAGCTGGCTGGGAGCTCATCTGCCTGGCTGTGGGTTTCCCAGTGTTGGGCACGTTACTTTGAAAAAGTAATTAGTTATAGTTACTAGTTACTTCTCCCAAAAAGTAACTGAGTTACTAACTGAGTTACTCCACAATAAAAGTAACTAGTTACTAATAAAAGTAACTATTGCGTTACTTTTGCGTTTCTCGCCCCCGTAAACCTCACCACCCAGCCCCCACCTTCTCGCCGTGTGTTTCCAAAGCCAGCTGAATAGAGCGGACGACAAAGACAAGAACCTGCAGAGAGTTTTGCATTTATTGCAACTCAACGTAAATGACATCAGGGGGGAACGCCATGTGAAGTTTTTTAACAGGGCATTCAGATCTGGTGAAATTAATGACTGGGGATGTCTAATTCTGAAATCCTGTGTGTTTGGGTTGTTATAGATACTGCAACATCTATCTATCTATCTATCTATCTATCTATCTATCTATCTATCTATCTATCTATCTATCTAGATGTATACTCTGTGTGTGACATAAAATATGGATTTCCATCCCTGCCACAAAGGCCATCAAATGTTTAAAATAAAAAATACAGTAGGTTGAAAAGGCAGAGTATCCATCCATCCATCCATCCATCCATCCATCCATCCATCCATCCATCCATCCATCCATCCATCCATCCATCCATCCATCCATCTCCCTTTCTCCATATAGGCTATCATTTCTGGCTGTTATCAGGTTAATCATTTGATCGTTCACGCTCTCCATAGTTCTCCTGTGGCGCGAGCACAGGGCGACTGTTGCGCGCCTTTAGCGAGCATGCGCGTTTCCGGTCGCTTGCGCGGTGACTCGTGCCGCCTGCGCCGTGCGGAGATGCAGGGGAAACCGTATCTGATGGGGAAACGCAGCTCGACGTAACACCGGTATTTCCATCAGGAAAAAGCTGTTTTGCTGCTGGATTCATCCTCACTCTCCATCTCTCTGTGTGTGCTGTACGTTAACAGCCGCCAGCAGAAACACCCACTTACACAACTGACAGACGGAATCTCTCTATACATCAGCCATTCTCATCCTCCCCTCTCTCATGACAAGGCGCGCACCTCTGGATGACCTAAAAAATTATCTTTAATATCTCTTAAACAAAAGTAGCACAAACAATATTTTTTTCTGCACAAATCTGCACTAACGTTGCACTAACCATTCAGTCTATTTGCAGAGTTTTTTGACGTGGGTGGGGTGTCAGCTTCACGCAGCTGCGCACGAGTCCTATCATGAAAAAAGGTTCATTGTGCGACCTGAGTAACGCGCAGTAACGGCGTGTCTGCAATGGTAACTGCGTTAAAGTTACAGTCAAAGTAATTAGTTAGATTACTCGTTACTAAAACAAGGTAACGGCGTTAGTAACGCCGTTACTTTCAACGCCGTTAGTCCCATCACTGGGGTTTCCTGGATGTTGCCACCTGTGGAGCTGGTTTACAGTTGACTTTTGCATCTCTTCCTCTTTTTCTGTGTCTGCTTCTGTCTCCTTGAACCCCAGTCGGCCTCTGCAGATGGCCGCTCACACTGATCCTGTTTCTGCTGGAGTTTTCCTCTCCACTGTCGCTATATGCATGCTTGGTGTGAGGGATTGCCTTTGAGTCAATGAGTCGATGCAATGAGCTGGTTTCCCTTAAATAGAAAACCTTGAACTAATCTGACTGAATGTTCTGGTTAAATTGTCTCTGTAAAGTGCCTTGAGATGACATGTGTTGTGAATTGGCGCTATATAAATGAACTGAATTGAATTGTTTTACTCCAGCAACATTTTAATGGCGTATCGCTAGTCCACCTCTTTCATAAATATCTTGTCCGAATGAAGAAAAAGCACATTATACACTGAAATGCACCAACGTGCTAAAATCACTATTCCTTTCTGAAAACAAGCGTTTCTTAATCTTACTTATAACTGCTAAGTATTTTATGAGATACAGAGTTCAAGGTAATATACAATAAAAAAAAGAATAAAATGTTATTGGAAGGTGGTTTACCCTGCTTTATTATACAGTATATTACATACTGTTAGTATTGGTTTCATAGGAGTTTTTTTGTTGTTAAAATTCGATTCAGAGAAGTATTTCTTTAGCCTGAGTTTCTTATTTTCAAATTTATTTTGCATTTGCAATAATTATTTAAAATTTTGACTTCAATAATAAAGTGTTTGCACGATAAGAAGTGATCAAATACTATTAGTTACTACTTGTGTGGCCTTCTTACTGATTTCTTTTTTTCTTTTGAGTAATTCTAATCAGAGGTAACTTTTTATTTTTACTTGAGTAAAAATATATTAAATTAGTTCTACTGTTGGTTGAATCAAACTTTAAGGAACTGAAAGACCTTAAACCGACAAATGTGTCCGAACATCAATCATGTAATACTTTCTATTTGAGTTAACTGGAATTGAAGGATTAAAATAGTAGATAATAATTATAAATACAATAAAAAAAACATTTTCTTATAAATAAAATGCATCTATATCTTACCATCCGTATTCTCTTTAAGTGGATGATGGGTGGCTCCGTTTGCTTCTTCAGCAGCTGCTTGTGGTTCTACGAATAAAAATACAAGTTCTAAATAAAACCTTTACATCCACAGGTTAGAAAAGTAGCACAAAATGAAGGCTGAGACTTACGCTGTCCCTTAGTATTCCTCCAGAAATCTGAAAAAAAAAAAAAAAAAAAAAGTATATAACCAGTGTATTTCAAAGTGAAGTATAAAATCAAGGCAAATTTCGACCCTAAATAAAAGAGAAGGGAGGAATATGGATTTTGTCAACTACTTACCAGCTTCCCAAGGATATGATGCTGCAGAAAGTTTGGTAAAGAAACAAAGTTTATCTATAGGCAAATAAACATTTATCCAAACAATAAAAAAGAAAAAAAAATCCCTTTACAAGGGAAAATTATTCACATCATAGAAGCCAAATGCAATGTAATAGATAACAATCTATGGCAAAAATTTTTTTTTTTTTTTTATTGAAATTATTTAAATGAATTGTCTTATTGTTGCTTACATTTGTTGTAGAAGCACTCTCCTGCAAAAAGAGGGGGAAAGTAGGATAATAACTTAGACTGAAGACCAAAATGAAAATTACGCGAAATTACGTCAATGGATGAACTCATTACCCGTTTTCACTCTGTGTAAGATCCCCAACAGCAAAACAAGTGCTAAGAGGATGACGAAGACCGTGAGTCCTGCGGAAATCCTTGGGCCACTTTCTTGACTCTTTGGAGGAGCTGTTTTTAAAAAAAATAAAAAAAAGGACATTAGATTATACATGCTCTATAACAGAAATTAAGTACTCTTAAAAAAAACAAAAAACTTTTTGCCCTTTTGTTTAACTCACTCTGATGTCAGTAGTCATAATATTATTCCTCGTTGGTTTATAGTTGTACAATAACATAAATCATGCCCTTTGGGTATTTATCTGTGCAATTTTGCTTCATCTGCATCATTATACTGGAAAAATATAAAACTACAATAAAATAATTACCTGTAAAATGCCCTTACCTGACTTTCAAGAGACAATGTGCTTCATTTTTCTTTATGTCTTTATTAAAATGCATTGATAAGAGGTTTAGTTTCCGGTCGTTTTTCCTTTGTACTGTATTATATCAGCAGATGGCAGGTACGATAATCAGGTAACTTGTGTTGAAGCAGCGCTCCCTCTTAATATGGGATTTTATTCCTGCTATTATATTTTATTTCACCATCTTGTTCAAGGTATCTTAAATCGTATATGATTCAAAACTAAAGCTAATGAGAACTAAACTGAAACGAAGAATTTTCAAAATAAGGAAAAAACTACATTAGCTAAAAAATACATATGAAAAAGAATTAAAAACAAGAACTCAAAACTTAATAAAAATTTATAAAAGGAAAATTTCAAAACTATTTAAGACTTGCTGATATTCAAAATGGAAACAAGTTATAAAGGTAGATACCACAAAATGAATTTCATACATTTCACTTAGCAAATATATAAATGAACATAACCATTTTTCAAGAGGAGTTTATTTTAATGCCTTAATAGGACCTCAGTACTCCATCATCATAGGCCTGCACATTATTATCAGTATGGCAACGTTCCATCAGTCTTTGTTGCTTTCCTTATTTATTTATTTTTTTGCAGCCTTATTTCCATTAATATGTATATAGTTATTTAAACACAAAAGTTTTTTCCCCCCGTTGTTCACCCCTTGTTACTAAGAGAGTTAAATGTTAGTGTTAATTTCATGGATTGCAATATTTTGTCTTTTTTTTAGTCCAAGCAAGATACTTGCTAACTTAAATCTGACTAAATCTTTATTAAAAGCAGTTTATAGTACTAAAACTAAGCAAAAATATTCACTTAAATCATTAAAATTCTCATTATAAAATGTTGTCAATTTGATACGAATCTTGCGTATGATGTAAAATTAGACATATTTAATTGATCAACAATGGCCTACCATCCCATTTCCGTTTTACTGATGCCAACAATATTTCCCCTTTTTGTTTTTTATATTAAATACCATTAAAATACAGCGTCTATTGATGTATGGCCACAGTTATTCAATTAACTCTGTTGTTGATTGCTTGGTCTGTTTATGTTAGCTGCAAAACTGATTGAACCTGTTGATCTTGTCTTGAATTAGTGACATTAAGAAAGGGAGGCGTCCTTTGGGTGACACCTCCTTAATTGCAGCTACAGCTACACATTGTACAAGTCAAGTCAGAATGTGATGTCGGAGCCTGGCTTTTATGGATGAGTATTATGAAATAACCCTGTACTTATCCAATCTGTCTTTATTCTATCATTTCCAAATCTCTTCTATGTACATAATAAACATGATAATTGTATATCTTGACAGAAGAACTCTGCTAATTAGATAAACAACTTGGGAAGATGTTCGTTAAACACATAACAGGCAGGTAATATTAGGGTTTAACAAACTCACAGATCATCATAAACATCAAACAAAAAAATAAAAATAAAATTTGCTAAGGATAAAAAAAAAGAAAAAAAAAAAAAAAAAGAGAACTGATCACAGACAAAACGTCTAAGAGAGATAACTCACGAGTCAAAGGGTTGAGGAAGGGTTGGCTGCTTTCCTGACTGACTTCATTCTTCATCTTACAGAAATACTCTTTGACACCCAAATCTTTCTCCTTCAGGGACAAAAAAAAAAACAACAAACAAAAAACAGTATCAGCAAAATGGAAAAGAGATTAAAAAAACAGACAAACAAAAAAAAAAGCTAAAACATTCAATAGACTTTACAGCTGTTCAGCCTCTTGGAAGACAAATAAGAATGATGTACTTATTGCCAGAAATATTACACCCTCCAAATCATTTAATGCTTCACACATTTCGATTGCCACAGAGGCATAAAATAAAATGAAAGCGGTTAGGAATGGAAGCATCATCTAAGGGCATTCAAAAATCCCAGAGTTAAAGTGATCAGTATCACCAAAATTACTGGGGGTGCACATGACAGACAACCTCAGCTGGACTATGAACACCGCCTCACTGGTTAAAAGGCCACAGAAGTGCATTGACTTCCTGCGGAGGGTGAGGAGAGCCCAACTGCCTTCGCCCATCCTCAGCATCTTCCACAGAAGCACCATAGAGAGCGTTCTGACCAGCTGTCTCACTGTGTGGTGTGGAGGCTGCAGCGTCTCAGACTGGAAGAACATGAGAAGAGAGGATAACCAGGGATCCTCTTCCCTCTGTTATAGGCATCTCATCCCAGCGCTGCATGTCCCAAGCCCTTAACATCATCAATGACCCCTCACACCTCGACTATGGACTGTTCTCCCTGCTGCCCTCTTGAAGAGGCTTTGCAGCATCCGCTGCAGCATTCAGCAGGTTCTCCAACTGTTTTTCCTCACTGCCAGCAGATTGTTGAACTGTTAAACTCTAAACAGGACTCTACATCAGTGTGCGAAATATGGGGTGGTCCGGGGGGGGGTGGGTGTGTGTGTGTGTGTGGGGGGGGGGGGGGGTGTGGGCGGGGGTCGACCCCCCCCCCCCGATTAACCCATGAGACCACCTGAAAGCCTCAAAAGCAAAATTTAAAGGGGGTCTAAAATTGTGTCAAAAAAATAAAAATTAATTTTTTTTGTCACCAATGATCACTAAAATATTTTTAGGCTCAACATGTCCAATATTTAAAATTCAAAACATTATTCACAAATATGTTTAATTGTTTTGCCAAGTGGAGCCAGCCAATCCTGTTCGCGTATGCAAATTAGCCATGAGCTTTTCCGCACTTAATAACACGGGTAACCAGACGCGCAACAGGTTGCGTGAAGACAGCATGTCTTCACTCCTGTTTGTGGACCTCAACGGACCTCCTCTGGACAAATTTGACCCAGTTCCATTTGTCAGAATCTGGATTAAAGCAGGACATCGCCTCTCGTCTTCCTGGAAACCAGGACGGCAACCAGAGGAAGTCGAGCCGAGGCATCTTGGGTCAGTTCTAACTTAAGGTAAGAAGCTATTTTATAAATTGTCCTGTATGTAGGCCTTGTGTTTGGTTGTGGTCTTAGTGAAGCAGCCTAGCCTTGGAGTTGGAGAGTGATTGTATATGTGGGTGCATGCGTCTGTGTGTGAAAGAGAGAGACAGACAGAGAGAGAGAGAGAGAGAGACAGACAGTCTTTGTGAGTGTGTGTGTTACAATGTAATAGACTGACTGTCTGTTCAGGCTCTTGCCCCCCCACCCCCACCCCACCCCAGATTATGTAAGATATATTTGTAACTGTTACAAATATATCTTACATTATTGGTAATAATAATAATATTTTTTCTGCTGCCATTACCATCTGCCTTTTGCACTAGCATAAGTATTGTTTATTTTATATTATTGTACATTTTATATTTTATTGTGAAATTGAATGTTTAAATTTTAGTATTAGGAACTGATCTTATCTGTTGTGCCCGTGCACTTTATCTGTTTCACTGTTGGTGAATGAGAAACGTCCTCTCGAGTCCTTGTATGTCTGGTGAATGTAAAGAATTGACATTAAAGCTGACTTTGACATTGTAATGTTATAGGCCTATTGCATATTGAAAAAGTGTTGATCGATATTGCACAACAATCGGGAGATGGGGACCCCCCCCAAATATTGACAGGTATTTCGCACACTGCTCTACATCATACATTATTTTGCACCACCAACGTGGTTGAAACATTAATGATCCTTCTAAATATGTCACAACTCAATATTATACCGCATTTTGCAGCATATTTAATGCCCTGGTTTCATGATGATTACTTCTGCACTTTATAAATGGTAACGTTCATTTCCCAGTTGTAAGCTGTAAGCAACTAAATTTGGTTTTGTATACACTCGGTGTATACAAAATGACAAAGTTTTGTCTAAATCCAAGTCTGTTTAAGTCTAACCCCCAGATTCCACATACTCCGTCATACGCTTGTCTTTCATGGAAATCAATGAGAGCTGTTCCACATCCACTGCTACTCCTCCGCACATCTCCGTCCACGTACGTCTTCTCCGTCCGTCACCGACAAATTACGGACCCGAGCTATTTTATGCTCCGCTCCGGTCCGGTCAGGTCAAGATCCGCAATTGCAATCGCACCGAACAGGAAAAAGAACATCGAGAAATTCCGGTTCGTCAAATTAAAATATAGTAGCAACAGAACGGTGACTAGAAATTATAGCACAATTCTTATATATTAAAAAAAAACAAAAAACTAACACCGTTTATTTTAATGATTGGATCCAAACTATTGGTTATTCCGCAACCAGGACGCAGATTTCTCATCTCCATCAAAATATTTATTTTATACCGAGGGACTTAAAGTTTAATCAAATCCATTCAAAACAAACTTCTTATTACAGGAATGAAAAGAGATGCTGAGTTTGGGAGTAGAGAACAAACATAGTTCATTCAAATAAAGCAGTTTTGAATTATCCTTATCCCCGTTACAAAAATCTACAAAAATATATATATATATATTTGGGCAGAAACTGAACATATGCTGGATGATGGTGGGATTTTTTTAATATGTCATATTAAATTAAGCGCTCACAGGGTTCATACAGGAATAAGTGACTCTGATTTAATGCTATTTTAATGCTATTAGAAATAATTTTAATGCCATCAACAAGTAGCATGTACACAAGTTATTAGTGTACATGAAATATGAAGGAGCTGTAAGCACAGTTCCATGACTCCTGTATGTATGTAAACACACACATATACGTATATATTAGGGATGCACGATATTGGGATTTTGGCCGATATCCGATATGCCGATATTTTAAAACTCATGTAGCCGATAACCGATATCGATACCGATGTTAAAGCTGGACAAAAATAAGTAGTCATTGAAAATAGCACTTTTGTTATCCATTTCTGACACTTTGAAAAATAACATACTCAAATATATTTTCATATGCCGATATCAAATTGATTTTTAAAAACGCGGTATCGATCTATTTTACTTTCAAAATCTCGTGAAATTTCATCGTTCTGTTACAAACTCTCGTGATATTTTGCAAATTCTTGTGAGATTTTGTTAGTAAAACAGATGGATACCGTGTCAATATATCAACATATAAAAATATGGCAAACTTTCGTGAATTTTCGGGGGATTTCGTAGCATAACGATGACATATAGCAATATTTCATTAGTAAAAGAGATTGATATGGTGTTTTTAAATGGCAATATATCAGCATATGAAGATATTGTGATATTTTAATGTATCAATATTTTTTCCCTCATCTTTAGAAGTTTTTAAGTCTGTAAAAAAGAAGTTTTTGAGGAAGAAGTATTTATTTATTCCTTTTTTTAGACTTTAGAAACTCAGAAGCTGATCAAATATCGGGTTAAATATCGGTGGGGTGGCCGATGTCCGATATTCAGTTTTAAGGCCGATAAAGGCCGATACCGATAGGGGGCCGATTATATCGTGCATCCCTAGTATATATATATCCTCTAGCTTTTTCTCCGCCTCGAGCTTCCTTTACAAACATACGGCTTTATGATCAGTTCCATGCAATTAAAGAATTATAAATACTTCGATAAACATATTTAAATAATTTTAGTGCCAATTAAGGCCTTGATAAAAAAAAAAATATATATTATTTTTAATGATCCGCGGAAACCCTGGTTCATCTTGCGCATGCTCTCTACGATCTCCAAGAAACTCAGAGCGGAACGGACTGGAGCCACAGCGGAGGATGTATGCTTTGCTTTGAGCAGGCGGTCTGGAGCGCAGCGGGGCGGAGCGCTGACAGAGTATGTGGGATTTCGGGGTAAGAATGCAAGTCTAGAGCTGTTCCTGAATGTCTGCCCTAATCACTATATAGGGCACTATATAGTGGTTACAGCATGTTAGATGAGCGTCTGAACTTCTAGAAGATGAAAAAATAGTGGTGTGGAAATTTTCCACAATGCACCTTGAAAAGTAGTGATCATCCATGGTCAGTGGACAAGCAGATATATCCTGGAATGCTTTGCACAGAGAGGTCTCCTCACAAACTATCATGTGATTTGTTGTCACAGCGTCCGGCTGTTGCTACGCGACAGAGGCGACTGATAAAGATGGCACCGCACAGTGGAGGAGGGGTTACGTGAACAACAGGGAGCGAAAAGTAGTGATCATCTGTCCGAACGGTCAGATAACCGAGTTCACTATAAAGTCCGCAATATAGTCACTGCTCTATATTTTGATTGAGGGATTTAGGGTCTAGGGTGGACTTTCGGACACAACCTAGCTAAAAAAAATCTGCATCTGAACTTAGAAATGCTTTAATGAGAAAAAAAAAACAATAAGGGCCAATATCTTCATTTATACACTTCGGACAACCTCCTCAGAAGGGTTAGGGGTGTTATAGCTGCATTAAATGGGAGGTGATTCAGTGCTTTTGACAATTGGTATCATTTGGGGTTTACATATTTTCTTAACCCATCTCCCACAGAATAACTGGAAATAATACCGTGATCATATATTCTCTTCCCGTGTTAACTTCACTTCCATCTTTCTTCATCCACACGTAGTTCACTGGTTCCGCTCTGGTTGTGTTTCCCTCACAGGTTAGGGTACAGGAGTTTGAGTCTTGATGACACGTTGAATGAATGGTAGGGACAGGAACTGGAGCTGGTGTCAGAGAAAGATAAGAATCAATTAGGGTCTTGTTTTTTAGACTACAGTTGAAAATTAGCTACTTAGCTAACACTGGCTCATTTACTGAAATGTTTATTATGTGCACTGTCCCTGTTCAAATAAACACATAAATAAAAAAAAGAAAGAAAAAAAAAGATGCGAAATCCAGAGCCAGTGTTGTTGACTTACAGAGGACTTGAAGGCGAATGGAGTGATCACCAGGATTGCCGTTTATCTCGACCCTGTAAACATTGCCGTCTCCATATTGCAGGTTTGTGATTGTGAAATCTCCCGTCTGGTTGTTCAAGTCACTCCTACCTAGAAGTAAAACATAATAAAGAACATCATCTCTCATTTCACCAGAAGTTAACAAAACTAAACAGCACCTCCTCGTTTACCTTTAAATTCCCGATAAAATTCGAGTTGTCCGTTTTCCAGTTCAGCAGCAAGATCCTGCCCAACTTTCCAGGTGATGGTTTGGATTTCAGCCGTCACAGTACTGGCTTTTGGTTCGAGAGTAACCTTATCTCCAATCTTTGCATAGATTGTTTCTTCTGTAGCTAAAAAACAACAAAAATACTGTTTTAAAAAGTTTAATTTCATATCTCTAGAAATGTATCTATTTGGTCTCTTGACTTATTTAACCCATTTTTTTTTTTACTTGTTAAAGTTGTTTTACTTTAGAAGTGTTCCAGGATTAATGAAGATAAAACAGCTTTTTTTTCTTTTTCATCAAAGATCACGTTTACATTTATATGAGCTTTATTGATAGGATCTTTCTTCTAATCCTGCTCTCTGGGGCTAGAGTTAAGGTCCTTGAAACAAGAAATATTGTTTCCAGTTTTTGCAGCATCACTGAAGACTAACTTTCTACAGGAACCTTGTAAAAGTATCAACCCCTTGTTTTTATTCTTCTTTTTTTTGCAACTGTTTCACACTCTTGAATTTGTGGGAAATCCTAATCTGTTGGGGTTATCGTCACCGATGAAGCTTATCCACAAGCTTTAGGAGCGATTACATTTCAGAGCACCTTTATTCAGATCCTCATTTGTCCAAAATCGATGTTTATGGACAATTCCTTGTCTTGAATTTGCTCCAATTAATACCAACATCGTTCAGTTGGGTTGAGGTCAAGATTGACTTAAAACATTCATCTCTTGAGCAGTTTTGTCTTTGTTTCCTTAAAATCAATGTCATCAGGACATACTGTCCAGATTGTAGTGATTTTCTCTTGCTCCATGCACATTCTTAAATAAACTGGCAATTGACAGGCTAAATGGAAGAAGGCAGAAATCTGAGGACCAGAAATGAAATCTGCTACAGATTTCAACTGGAGAACATTTCATACCCGAATCAAACACTTGAATATGAAAGCCTTGGAGATCCTTTTTTTTTTGTTTGTTTTTTGTTTTGTTTTTTGTTTTTTTTTTATCTAAAGCTATTGAATTTAATTACTATGCTTCTATTAATGTGCTGCTCTGCTGCTCAAATGTAAAATGAAAATTTCTTATCAAGAGAAAATAAAAGGCTAATAGCAAGAAGCATTGTTACAACAACAAAAAAGAAAACCAGACATAAACTGATCTTTTTAATGCTAGGTAATTGTTTCTATGAATTTCCAAACAGCCAAATTTCTCAAACTCATAGGCAAAAGACTATTGCAGCAGCTTTCTGTCAGACAGCTAACTAATTTTACTTAGCAATATGTTGGGGAGGGGGAGCAGTGTGTTACAAGCTACACATATCTAAAAAATCTGGAAAAATACATCCAGCTTTGTCGGATATGATGGAGAGCACATGCGAAGACCAGTTTTTAAGTCCTGCAACTTATTCTCAAATGGATTTCTGAACTTTGATGAAACCATTGATTAAGGTTCGCACTAGGGCTGATGATATTAGATTATTGAAATAATCTTCAACTAATATATTAATCTATTAATCGTTAACTGGAGTGTAAAGACTCTAAAACATGCTGACAGAGCATCTCACTTATATATATTAAATATATACACACACTCTGCATTTTAGAAAAATAAAAAATTTTCCACGGTCAGTATGCTCTATCCAGAACTCAAGTGGAAAAGTTTTTGTTTCCCATGGCTTAACTTCATTAACAATCTTCTTTAAGGAAGTTCGATTATAACTCTTGAAATAAAAATCAACAGATTCATTAATTTGCAAAATAATCATTAGTTGCAGCCCTACTTTGCACGATGATATGCTTTGATATGTAAACTACCCTATTGTAGCTGTAGTTCTAAGTCTTAAGGTGTTCCAAGAAGCGCCAGTCTCAAGTCTTTTACAACCTCTAACTCAGGAGTAGAGCTGGGCGATATGGCGATATATATCGTGAGGACGAGAGAAACATGTCTATCGTGACCTTTCTCCTCTATTTTTTCTATCGTGATAAACTTCTTTATTATTATTATTACTGCTAATATACATTTTAATATATTCTGTTAATATAACATTTTGCGTTTTTGCTATGCAAACTCTAAGTGTATATAACAAAAAAAAAAGAGAATAAAAAGATAATGTGTAGAGAACGTGGTTTTGCGACACTACACCGCTTTACGTCACGCGGCTTTGCACCATACGTTTGCGACATTACTGATGGAGAGAGCCCGTGAAATTTCTTTCTGGCTTGAAAAAAAATGAATGATGGACACCCAAGAAGATTTTACCGTTAAAGCGGAGCTGCCTGGCTTATATGCTAGTTGTCGGGCTGAAGTGGAGAGAGAGGTACGCAGTGGTGCGACGACGCATTATGCGTTGACTACGGACATGTGGATGAGTAGAGCAACACAGCCTTATATGAGTCTCACCATCCTTATCACGGACTGGACCCTCCGCGCTCGGTGTCTACAGACCGTGTACTTTCCTGAGGACCACACCGGAGTGATGCTCGCCCAAGGTATGAGCCTGACATTGCTATGCACTTTTGTACGTTCGCTAGTTTTACTATTATTGGTTTTACTAATATGCTTACACCAATGAACTGTGTGCTTTTACAGCATACACATCCATTACTGGACCTCACTGATATTATAATTTATTCTGAAGGGGGGAAAAGTGAAGGCTACTGCACCTGTGAGTGTTGTGTTTACACACAAAGGTGCTGTAGCATTCACTTTTTCCCCTTCAGAGTAAATCATACTGTGTGTATTAGTGTGTACTGTTTGTTATAGTTTGTTGTATAGTACTGTTGTGTTCCATGTTTTTAAACTGTGCAGCACGTTTCTCTTGTGACTGCTGAAAAATAAAGAGAACAACTGAAACACGCATAATTGTGGTACAGGTCGTATGATGGATCACATTTTTAACTACACTGACACTCCTATCCAGTAGAACATGTGGGCATTTTAATTAATGTATTACCAGTGCAGACACATTTCTTCTTAAATAGGCGAGGCGGCTCCTAGTGGAAAACAAGGTAAGTGAAAGACAAGAGAAAAAACTGGCCTTGGAATTTTATAAAATGTCAATAACAAATGAATATTAAATGATTAATTACTGCAGCGCAATAGCCAAGATTCTATACTGTTCACTGTCATGGCCGCAAATTGCATAACTGGTGTTCTTGGTTTGGGGTTGGGATTCTCATATTAGGAAACAAGATGATGGGTAAAAAATAGGCGATGAAAGATTTTTTTCAACCCTGTCCATCTGACGGACTATGAAAACATAAAATGCAACATCAGTTGTGGTATATCGTGATATACATCGTTATCGTGATATAAAATAATCCATATCGTGATATAGTATTTTTTCCATATCGCCCAGCCCTACTCAGGAGTGTCAAAGGCTACGTTCACACTGCAGCCTGAAGTGACCAAAATCCAATTTTTTGGCCCATATGCGACCTGGATCTGATCTTTTCATGACTGTCTGAACAACACCGATCCAATTTTTTCCAATGCGACCCAGGCCACTTGGCTATGTGGTCCTGAATCCGATACGAATCTGATCATTTTAAAGGCGACCTGTGTCTGAACGGCCAGGTGTCATTCATCCGAACTGAATGCCAGTAATACCTGACAAAGGCCACTATTCTAGGTCATGCTATGAAGAAGCGGCAAGAAACACAACAACCATGGCGGACGATGATGTGGAGAGCAGTATTTATGTTTAACCATCTTGAAAAGATTGTGTTTATATGGTTGGAAAAGATTGCTAGATGTGCTCCGGCACTACATCCATGCTTAATTCCATAAACAAGAAGCACGCTGGCCTGTGACATCATTGCGTCCTCTACTGGGCATGCTGGACACTTGTGTTGTATGACTACAGTTCATACAGGAGATCACATACAAGTTGCATATATAAGGAAATGTGAACAGCAACGCAAAAAAAAAAAAAAAATCGGATTTCACCAAAAAATCAGAAATGGGCATCAAGGCCTGCAGTGTGGACGTAGCCAAAGTGGCTCCAGAAAGGGCCGTGTGGCTGCAAGTCATGTTCAGATTTGACTCACTTGAAGAGATGACTGGAGTCTGTTGTGCTATTGCTTGGTTGGAAAGAAAACCTGCAGCCACACAACCCTTTTTAGAACCACTTTGACTCCCCTGCTTTAATTAATTTTTTCCCCTGATTCTTTGTGTCTGTGAGGGCCGAAGGTAAAGGAGACGTTGTTGATGCTACTCGCGCCGTAGCGGCTAGTTGTTAGCCGTGAATAACTCCACAGTACTCCGTTGTAAAGAACGTTAGACGAACATTTATTTAGTTCCACAGGGCTGTTCCGTTACAGGAGTGATCCAAGGTTAATTCACGGTAGAAAACAATCCTTAGTCGGCTGATAATGCCTTAATAAACTTATAAAAACGGCTACAGCTACGGTACAAAAACTGTTAGCCTCCGTGGCTATTCTTTACTTCCGGCGCACTGACCCGGAAATACAAACGCTGCCGAAAAAACCTGTGAGGACAGAACGCAGGCCTATTAAAAAAGGCAGAAAAAACAATAATATACTAATACAAGTCTAAATAAAACCTTTCCTTATACTTATATTATAATATATCGAATAAAACAGCAAAAAATAATTGTACCTTTTACTGAAATCAGGCTCTCGGCTGAATAAAACTGAACATATAAACACAATAAAAGTAAATATGAGCCTCTTACAAATAAAAATATCATTCAGTCCACTTTGGCTCCTATATACCGGCCCCTAATTTCTCTTCTAAATAGAGACAATTACACAAATTCACACACAAGGAGCCAACTAAACCAAACATTCAAGTCAACTAGAAAATGTCTCTTATTCTGGGCAAATTAGCCCTGGCGCCAGAGGTTACCAGCACATGGCGCACCGTAGGAGGACGGTCTTTACCACCGCCTCATGGAGCTTCTTGGAGAAGACAGACCTTAGTGATAGGTCTATCTAGGATAGATGTCTTCGTCCTGACGCGAACTCGACGAACCAGCCCAGCCTTGTCAGGAACCACCTCGATGATCCTGCCCAGGACCCAGGAATTCCGGGGGGCAGAATCATCAACGATAAGGACAACATCCCCTTCTGCGAAGTTGCGAGACACACCAGTCCACTTCTGTCGCTCTTGTA